GATGGCTCGCGTCGAAAAAGGGAATTGCACTTGCACCATTGTGGCTGACGCCTTCTATACTCTGGCAAGACATGAGCAGATGTTCTCGCAAGCCCAACGGCCCTATCAGTCGTGCTGGGACACACCGTCAAGTTAGGACGTGCACGGAGTGGTAGACATACTTTTGGCTCTCTGCGCCGGATCAATCCTCCTTGCGAAGCAAACCATGCAGCAAGCCCCCATCCAAGCCCCTGGCAACTGTACACCACTGCTGGAAGCTTCGATGCCCGCAGCACCCAATATCGGAGATGGCCTGCGCCCAGTGAACTGCAGGAATTTTGCTGTTCTCCGGTGGTTGCTGTGAAGGTCTAGGGTTTACGGGGGGTTTAGGGCTGCACAATGTGGCCTTAATTGGGGTATTTAGCTCACCTACACCTGTACTGATACATCCGCAGGTCCTGTTCCCGCAAAAGAGGGAAAGCATGCACCTCAGGATCTTCTTTGATTTACCTTGCCATCCTTTTGTGGGCGTTGGAAAGGGGCCACGCTGCGGTGTGCCTGCTTTGTCTTGGAGACTCGCAAAAAAAATCATAACCATGGAGCCAATCGCTTCATAGATTCGTAGCAATAGAACACGCTTCGGGAAAAGCGCCCCTAACTAAAGCACTGTGGACCTAAACCCAATGCAATCGTACTGTCAAGGACACTCCTAGGTGGGTAGTTACTAGGTGGGTACCCCATATTCAATATACAGCTCATATAATGCTCGTATAAGGGTTATGGGGCTATATGAGGTCTGTATAGGCCTTCTATACAGGAACCTGCCTTATATCTACCCGCCTGGAACTCCCCTTGATACTGGGGATTAGCCGGGCATAAGGGAATGCAATCCCTCCGTTATCCGTAACCTCTATATAATATATTCCTTCATTCCCTACCCTAAAACCCTGAATCCAAAAATCTAGACCCTGAACCCAGCGCACAGTAAGGAATCACGCAGCTGCTCTGGCCTCTGTCATGTTCTCTGAACACCTTAGCTCATCATCTCGCGTCGAATTGAGGGCATTCCCCGAAATGGTAGCCCACCTTCATTCTATGTCAGGACGGACTACAATCGTTTCCTGAATGACAACCAAAAAGGGGGCCTGTAATCTTCGGAACCCCTGAATCCTAAGTATGCTTGTCAATGAAACCGTTTATGTCCCTAAATATCCTCTGCAACCCTTTGAAAAGGGACCATTGGTTCTTGGAAGCCCCCATGGGAGAGCTGGATCAGGTTTCCCCAGGAGCTTCTTTGGCCGGAAGGTATAATGTACGTATCATCTTCCTAGGCCCATACCACAAGTGGCTTAAAGATCGCCAGACAGTGCTTTGCAAATGCTATGCGCAGCCATCGTCAGGCATCCGCTGCCCCAAAGCAATAAACATTGTCTTCCCCCTTCAAGGTCATTATTCCATATTTGTACTATGTTGAGAATCTTAAGCCTATGGGCCAACACAATCCTAAACCCCCAAACCCAGAACCGCTAAACCTTACCGCAGCATAAGACTTGAGGATTTCATGTTTGGCGGGACTACAACCCCAAATCTTGAAGCCGCTAAACCATCCATCCCCTACACCTTCCCTAAAACCCCTGACAGCTGGACATAATTAGCCTGAACCCTGCCCTAAAACCCAACCCCGAACCCTAAACACCAAGCCCTAAACCCTGAACCCTACACCCCCAAACCCTACAGCCCTAAACCCTTCAGCCTTAACATAGCCAGGGGGAAATCTGAGACCTGTGCCAGCAGTCAAGCCACGCATCCAGCTCAGCGGCTGGGATTCCCCAGTCCTGCATTTTGGTTTAGGGGTTTTGGGGGTTTAGGGTTTGGAGTAAGGGCATTTGGGGGGTTTAGGGCAGCTCAAGGGTTCAGGGTAATATGGGGATAGTGGAAAATAACATGGAAACCTCTATTTAGAGTCCAGGGTCTATGGGTTTCGGGCTTAGCAATTAAGATTTTAGGGTGTAGGAATTTGGGTTTAGGCCTGCGTGTTTTTTTGCTGTTTGGTGCGTGTGCTTCTTTTAATGGTACAGTAGTGTCATCCTGCTTCTGAAGTCAGGCTGTGCATTTTGTATACTCACGAATACTCTGAAGAAAACCTACATACACTCACAAAACCATAAACAAATCCTGCCTCACACAAGTCCTCCATGAGAGGTGTCAAGGGCAAGCATGTCTGCTTTGCAAAAAGCGCTTGGCATGGTAACCGGTTTAGGGTCTATTAAGAACTGTCTTTGACATATGTAGCCCAGGACGCGCCGATATCTCCTACGGCGGCCTACAGCGTGGATTTTGGCGGCAAGGGC